GGAGATGAGGGGAACGAGGGTGGGAAGTCAGTCGAAAGGGAGGAAGGAGGGGTCTGATGCGTACTGGGAGCAGGCCCTGCCGAAACTTGTGGACATCGGGCAGGTATCAGGTCAATTGTTGCTACTAGCCCTGCTGAGGGACCAGGGAGTGGTGTATAAAAGCAATTAGGGTGACGGAAGGACCATTGATCTTCCTGTGCCACCCAGTTTTTCCATATAATTCTTCCGTTGTCCAGGATCTCGGCCATCTTGCGATAGGGATCAAGCCATAGTTCAGCAAATGCTGAAATGGCCTGTTTTTTATTTTCTCTGTCAAGACAGGCATGCATATCGTCCCTGAGCTTTTTGTTAGCTTTTACTAAATTAGCCCTCATAATTTCGACGAGTTTGACTTTGGCCTGGTAGTAACCAAATGTGTTCTCTCGCCTCTCTGCTGAGCACCTCATCCTCCATATGACCATGAGGACAGCCAACCTCATGTGTTTAAAGAGGTTCTTCTAGAATGGGGTCCAGGCCCGTGGGATTCTGCTTTTTTTCCCCAGCAATATGAGGGCCACATCCCACTGAAACACTGTTCCGGTAAGGGCGTGCCACATTGCATCCCACCGTTACCATATACGTATCATCGATAGACAAGCTAAAAGACAATGTTCCAAGTCTGCGCGTCGTTGAGGGGCGTCAGGTCCACAGTGTGAGCAGATAGGGGAGAAAACCTCTTTCTGTTCCAGGTTGGATCTTGCTGTCACCCAGTCGGGGGTCGGAAGGCACCTGTGTGTGATTTGCCACTGCAGTGCCCTGTGGGAGGTGGGCATAATATGAGCATGGGCGGTCCACGGGATGTGTCGGAAGCTGACTACCTCCACCGGGAAGTCCCTACGCCACCTTTGTTGAACAACCGGTGATGATGGGACACGTGCGTGCACTGTTTATATCCTTCTCTGACTGTGTTCTGCCAGACAGGGGTCGGATTACGGCCTTTCCACTCCCATTTGTCAGGGTCGAAGGGTAGGGCCCCAACGGGGATGGACATTCCGTATGCATAGAATCCCTTGTCCTCAGATCCCACCACTTTAATTCTAGTGAGCCCGTCTTCTTTGCTTGTTTTGTCCAAGGCAGGAGTTCTTTTTAGAGGAGCCCATCTGGCCCCTGGCACGTCCGGTTCGAAGGCATGCAGTCGTATGCCATCACGGGTATGGGAGAGTACCCTGTAGATAACCATCGGGATTTGGTCTGGAGCGGCTTGAGTCACCCAATCGTGAATCCTTATCGACGGTCCATTTTGCAACACTACCACCCATTGTGGTGGGACTGCTGAACACAGTTGGTGCAATTTGTCCTGGAGTTTTTATACATTTTTAAGTGGGGGTTGCATCTGTTGCAGCGACTTCCATGTCCTAGCTTGCCTGTCCCACAAGTCCCCCACAGTGAAGACCCCATTTTTGACCCAAGAATGGCTGCCCTGCAGCATCGCAGATGTGGGGATTTTCGAATACCGGTTGTCGCCACAGCTCATGCCATCGCATAGGGGGGGGCTTTGTTTTGGCCCCATCTGTCTCCACAGTTCCACCGTTGTGATCCACAGGGGGTCATTCTTAATATCCCATCTGGTCCTGTCCCGGGGCGACCCATCTCTCTCGCGCCTCGGGGGTCTCGGCAATGACCATGCTGCATTGACCAGCCAGGTGAGGGGGTGAATCTGGTGGTGAGGGGGAGAGGGGGGAGCCAAATGTGATAGTTGGATATACGTAAGGGGCTGCCAAGGGATGTCATTGACGAGCAGCAAGTGAGAAATTATTTTAAACATCAATGCTCTGATCTCATCACCCGGGTCGAGGATACCCAATCCCCCTATCGCCTTTGGTTGGGTGATGTACTTCCACGCCACTCTTTTAATGCATTTCGTTTTAGCATGCATAAAAGCCATTACTTTACGTTCAGCTAGTTCCTCCATAAATAGGCTGCTAGTGTTTCTCGCAGATGCGCCAGTTGCTTCGTGGGGATCTGCCAAAACGCTGATTTGCACCGTATGGAGGCCAAGATAGCATTGTTTATTGCCAGCGTACAACTTTGTTTTTTCCGACTGGCCTCAGGATAACGGCCTGACAACTCTCGAAAATCGAGAGTCCTTCGAGTGCCCTCGGGAGGACGCTTGAAAAGAGCGGTGCTTCCGGCTGGGCGTTTAGGAGTTTCGAGAGCTACTCTCGAAACGAGGTGCTGACAACTCTCGAAAGAGTTTTCGGGCCACAACTCTCAAGTGGCTGTGTGGCGACGGCTCCAACTCTTGAAAATCGGGTTTCAAGAGTGGTGTGGCGAGGCCCTAAGGGCCTCGCCACACCAACCCTTGAAACCGTGTTTTTAAGAGTTGGACGCGTCGCCACACAGCCACTTGAGAGTTGTAGCCCGAAAACTCTTCCGAGAGTTGTCAGAACCTCGTTTCAAGCCGAGGGGCCTAGTTGCACTACCGCCATAGGCCAAGTTTGGCGAGTAGGCGCCTGGTTGCACTTACTCGCCAAACTTGGCGAATGGAAAATGTGTCAGACGGCTCGCCACACCGTCGACACAACTTGTGGAGAGTGAATTCAGTTTCCCCGCCTGTGCACGGCGGTTTGTGGAGGGTGGTCTTCGGACCTCGCCACAAAACAGCTTTCTGGAGGTGCAGGGCTTCACGAGTCGACATGGGGTTCAACAATTTTTTTTAACGTTTCTGTAGAAGAAATCTCGTGGCGAGTACGTGCAACCAGCTCGTGGCGAGTACGTGCAACCAGGCCTCGAGTTCGACACGATTCTTATATTTTTCACTCTCCACGGATCCGCCACGAAATATGACGGATGGTGAGTAGTGCAACTAGGCCCTAGCACTCGAAACTCCGAAATGCCCAGCCTGCAGCACCTCTCTTTTCAAGCGTCCTCCCGAGGGCACTCGAAGGTCCCTTGATTTTCGAGAGGTGTCAGGCTGTTATCCTGACGCCATTCGGAAAAAACAAAGCTGTACGACTGTCGTTTTTCATGGTTTGTCCAACACCATCGCCCTTTCCAGAGTGCTGTGTGGCGAGGGGCCTGAAACTCTTGGGGCCTTGCCACACCACTCTTGAATCTCGAAAATATCGAGAGCTGTCAGGATTTTTCGAGAGGCCGGTTTTCGAGAGAAAATGGCCCTTCGCCACATAGCACACTAGACCGGCCTCTCGAAATGGACGAACTCGAGCGCGGACGGGCGGCATCACGAAAAACGGCCTGACAACTCTCGCAATGGACGTCAAACTCGAGTGCGGAGGGGCGGTATCACGAAAACCCCAACGCTGCAGGCTGGGCGAAAAATTCTTTTGGAGAAGGCACTCGAAAACGCCTTTCTGACAGCTCTCGAACAGTTTGGAGTTCTTTTTTCGAGCCATGCTGTGTGGCGGTGCCCGACTCACGAATTTTCGAGATTCGAGAGTGGTGTGGCGAGGCCCTTGAAAACCCAACTCTTGAGAACGTCTGGCAGCTCTTGAAAAATTTCCCAGTTTCAAGAGTGGTGTGGCGAGGCGAAACGTGAAAACGACAAAAATGTGGCAGGTGGATCTGGCCATGTTCTAGAGGGAAGTTCGTTCTCGTTTTGCACATTTCGACAGCCTGTGTGGCGAGGCCCTAAGGGCATCATAGCCACGCCGCTCTCGAAATGTGCAAAACGAGAATGAACGTCCTGTCCTTCGGGACATCCGTTAAAATTGGAACGATACAGAGAAGATTAGCATGGCCCCTGCGCAAGGATGACACGCATAAAAAAGAAAAAAAAAAAAAAAAAAAAAAAGAATGAACGTCCCGCTAGAACATGGTCAGCCGCCACGTGTTTGTCGTTTTCACATTTGTGTGGCGAACCAAGTGGGTGCCACTTGTCGCATCCAGGACGACAACTTTGGGGAGACAGAGTGGGAAAGCATAACCGCCAGACGGGGGACGTAACCGCGTCGCCACAGCTCTGTCGAAACGGAAAACGCACTAGTGCATCTTTCCCAAAAAGTGGCCAGATGCATCTGTTGCTATTCTGTTGCTATTCCTGGGAACGGATGCATCTTGCCACTTTCTGTGGGAACATGCATTTGAACGTTTTTCGTTTCGACAGCCGTGTGGCGAGGCCCTAAGAACGCCAGCAATCACTGCCACGGTTGTTCAGCTGGAATTGCCACGGGTCGAAATGTCTCGCGTGAACGATACAGAGAAGATTAGCATGGCCCCTGCGCAAGGATGACACGCATAAATCGAAATGTCTCGCGTAGCGCGAAAAAGAGGCCATCAGGGAGAAAAATAGGCTCTGACGGAAGGGGTCGGTTTCGCTTCCCCCCACCCTCAAAATTCAACTTAGGGCATACTCACACGGGACCTATAATCCCAAACCAAAATCCGAAAATAAAGGGGAAAAGGCCGGTCACACGGATCTACCAAATTCGCAAATGTACGGTACAGCAGCTGGACCCGAAGCATGCCCAAAACCTCAAATCGGCCCTTCCCAAATCCGCGTATTTTGCGGATTTGGGGTCCGCGTGTGATGAGATTGCCCTTGCAGTTACGAAAGGGTGGCTCCAGCCACTTGTTCCGTTGGCACCTACAAATCGAATTTGACAGCTGCAATGGAAACTTCCATCCTACAAGGAATACCATCGACACCCCTTTTCGACGTGCTTGGCTGGTAAGATCCCCCAATACACAGCTTTGGCCATCAGTCAGGGAGTGCCGTAGGCAGGTCTTTGTTGCCCTCTTGCCCTCCAGTGCCGCTCGCTTTTTTTCCTTTTCGTCGTTCGAACGTGGGTCCGTACCTCAACAGTCCTAGGGTGTGTGTTTTTTTTGATAAAAGTACGCACTGGTCCTTCGGGAGTCGGGAGATCCGTTAAAATTGTAACGATACAGAGAAGATTAGCATGGCCCCTGCGCTTTCAAGGATGACACGCATAATATGTTTTCATTAAAAAAAAAAAAAAAAGTACGCACTGCGGGGGCCGAAGTGATTGATAAATTGCGGGCGCGGGCTCTTTTTCCCAACACGCTCGAGTACCTGAGATAGGACGGACCGGAAGGGGTACATTGCTTCGCCACGTTGGCGGAGAAGGGAGGACAGAGAGGACGTCTACATTTGCACGCCATCCTGCAGCGGAGGCAACGCAGGAGCGATTAGTTGAAGTGGAGGAAGTTTTCGAGGCGGCTGTAGAACTTCCAATCGAGGACTTCACGTCTGCCTCGGAGGAGTGCAAGAGGGAGGGCACGTCGGTCGAAAGAGGTAAAGGCGGGAAAGGCGGTACAGGCGGGGAAGGGAGGCACTGTTGGCTTATTCCGGACCACCTTGCTCTTTACGTAGTGAAGGCGAAGGAGGACGTGGACGCTGATACCGATGGCGGGAAGAGTATCCCGATCCGTCTCGTCCATGGCGGCTATGGCGGCGCTGCTGCTACTGGCCTTAATGCAGTTCGCCATCCACGGACATGCTGCGTCCCCGCCTCCTGGTACGGTGAAGATCGAGGGTTTCAGTTACAACGGCGATGGCTGCCCACCTGGTTCCGCCGAGGGCTCAGTGTCCGATGATGCGAGAGCGCTCACCGTCATGTTCAGCAAGTACACTGCCACGACAGACGCTGGCAATTCCGGTCTGAGGAGGGCGTGCACGGTGACGGCCGTGCTGAGTTATCCGCAAGGGTTCCGCTTTCACCTGGTGGACGTCACGCTGCGCGGGTACGCCAAGCTGGACGCTGGCGTGACCGGAACCATTCAGACCAGTTACTATATCTCCGGGGTAAAAGGGACGGCACGAGCTAGGCGCGTCATCCCCGGCGCGTTCGATGACAACTTTGAGTACACGGACAGTTTCGCTGCAGCCGTCTACAGCGAGTGCAACAGCGTCAGGAACCTCCAGCTCGTCTCCGAAGTGCGAGTGAGTCCTGCGAAGCCACCGAAAAGCGGCCTCTTGACCATCGACTCTCAGGATCTTCGGCTCACGGAAGTCTTCGCCATCACCTGGGAGTCCTGCTAAACCCCAGGCCACTGCCACCTTGTCGGCTCGGCACGTAGCAACCGACGAAACTAGGCTACATGCTCACGGAGCACTTCCGTAGCGAAATCATCCTGTGCATGTCCTCGGGTGCGACTGTCGGTGTAGATTCTGTATCTCTGCAAAACTCTCGACTTGTACTCATAATTTTTGTATAGGTCGGTTAATAGTAGGCGTAGCTGGTGGAGGCAGTTGAGGACTCGAATTTCTGCTGATTTGAAGGACTTTCCATCGCTCATGTGGGAGTAACTAGATCCCAGACGGACTAGCCAAGGCACCTCTCTCTCCCTCTATCTCTATCTGTGTGTGTGTGTGTGTGTGTGCGCGTGCGTGTGTTGCGCGCGTGTGCGTGCGCACCCGCGCTAAGGCGGAGCATCTCTCTTTCTGTGTATCTCTCGTTCTCGCCGTGTGTGCGGTCGTGATTTGATGCTTACCACTCGGTTTACGACGGTGTTCTTTGAGCTGCGGACGTAGTTAGACGAATCTCGACCTTGCGGAAAAGTATAGGATTCGCCCATGACTTAGCGGTATAGCATATTGTCACTCTTATGAAATTCGAGGAATGAGATGTGGATAAAGCCACTGAGCTTTCTTTCACGTCGTCGCTTCTTCCCGTAACCTATGCGCTTTATATGCTCTTTGGATTTGTCAGTTTTCACTTCACAGCGGCCGTGTTGTCTTTTTGTCACTGAAGACAGAACGAACGTGTTTTTCTTTTCCTTTTGAACTCTCCCACTCCCTTTTTTTGTGGACCATCTCTTGGTCGGCGCGTGCAATTCTGTCGGTCTTCTGTTCATCCTGCCTTGCCCATCCAAGAGTTTCGTGTCTGAATTTCATGAGTGAATTCGCTCACTTACTGACAATCCATCCCCCCGCCTTCAGCCCCGCAGTGGAAAGAAAAATCATTTCCCTTTGGTTAGTCCGCTCCTTCTCCTGCGCTCGGTTTTGTCGCGTTGGTTGAGGCTGCTCGCTCATGCTGATGTTTTTTTTCATCTCGTTTTCTCTGTTTTGATTTTTGTCGCTTGTATTAATGTTTTCCCCATCTCGCTCGCTTTCGACTTCCCACGAACTCCTCTCGTTCGTTTTTCCTTTCGAATCCGAGTGTGTGTGAAGTATCCCTTTACCCGCTTCGGGTGAGCTTTCGCTTACATGCTGCTTTCATTTCAGAGCGGGATGATATACTCAAGTCAATGCCGTGGATCCTATGGGTGCAAGAGCTTTTCCTTCTCTTTACCTCCGTCCTCTCACCCACTCCACTGGCTCGAAAACTGAATTACGAAGCAAGCAGAGTAGAGGGCCATATGGTAGACGTGATTATCTCGTACTGCTGGCATATATATATATATATACAGCCCCTCGTTTGTTGTCCTCTTCTCTCTCTCTGCCTACGGTTTACCGGGCAGTTCTATTTGTGACGATATATACATACATATGTATATGTATCAAACCGAGCTGGCCCGTGAGAGAGAGAGAGAGAGAGAGAGAGAGAGAGAGAGAGTAGGCTACGTGGTTCTCCCAGCAGTGTACTCCGGGCAAGTCGCCCGGGGTCATTTGCACGGGGCACCCTGGGCAAGAAAGTAAGTTTAAAACGGCCTTTCTTTTTTTTTGGGTTTTTGGGTGCAGGTTTTCTGAGCATGGCTAGAGCCCAAATCCAGGATCCTTTCTTTTTTCGAGCGTCGGTACTAAAGAGGGGAAGACACCCGGGGTTGAAGGGGTGCCTTTGTCTGTTTCTGTTGTTTTGTTTATTATTCTGGGACTCCAAGAGGAATTCTGATGTAACCCTCACGTGATCGGACAAAAAATCACTGGAGGATAACTTCGGTTTAAACGTATAAATAAACATGGTGTAATGTTTAATATTATCACAGTCGAAGTCTTTTGGTTGGGTGCAAACCTACAGGGTTTACCACCGTCGAAGTCTTTTTTTCGGTTGGGTACAAAGACTATCGAAAAATGAATCCGGTACAAATGCAGCGCAGCGCGGCGCGAACTTCATAATCAGGCAGGAAGAGACTCAGCAGGCCGGACAGATGTCAATATCACACAGCCTGAAATGCCTGTGGGCGCTTTATACCCACCTGGACAACGCCGGGTGTGATAAACCCAATAGGTTTGCGGATGGGCTGTATCTACGTGATTGGCCGTCACCCTGAAATGCCTGTTGGCCGTTCGCACCGGACGGGAAAACTTTGGACGTGAGAAACCGAATAGGTTTTCAGATGGGCTAGATCTACCTGTTATCTCCCTCCGTAGCCCTTCCTCTGGCAATACTCACGAGGTGTTTAGGTTGGGGTTGGGGTTGAGAGCCGAGCTTGTCAGGGGAAGAACTCTTGACAAGGGAGAAAAAGGGACATGAATAAGACAAAAAGAAAAGGGCACGAGACGAGTCTTGACGACGGGCTGCTAATGTTGGCCTACCGCCCCTGATCGCATCAGCCCATGCTTTCGGTATAATCAATTTCTCGTCAACAAAATGCCACATGCTGTCTTAGGGCACGGTCTCACTCAATCATGGCCGAACCTGGATGTATTTGGCCGTAACTAAGTCAAGCAATCAGTTGAAAAAGTCCCAAGGTGAGAATGCTTTTGGACATGAACACTCGTCCCCGCTAGCGTCCAGAGACGAATGGCCAGTGCTGGGCCAAGACAGATTCCTTGTAATCTATGGAAAACTAATTTCTATTTTTTTTTATTTTTTTTTTCTCGGTTTATGCGTGTCATCCTTGCGCAGGGGCCATGCTAATCTTCTCTGTATCGTTCCAATTTTAACGGATGTCCCGAAGGACCTATCTTCTTTTCTCAGGCATCGGCCCAACTGGCCACGTAAAAAAAAAAAAAAAAAAAGAAAACGGAAAAGAACAGAAAAAGAACACACACGGGCTATGTTTGCCAAGTGGAAATAAACCACGCAACACTGTTTTTGGCCTTTGAAAATCGCCTTATTTTTTGGGGGGACAAGCAAGGAATCCATTAGGCTTAGTCGCAGAGGGACGGAACTTAATGTGACATGTTCAGGATGCAATGAGGGTGGGAAGCCACTCAGCACCTGTGCCTCCTCTGCCCTCTTGCAGATGAGTTATGGGTATCGTGGAAGTTACAGTGGGAGGAAGGAGGCCCTGAGTGGGAATGGACTGACGATTGGATTTTGTCTGCCCTCCCGCCCCTCTAATGCTAAGTTCACAGATGAATGGGGTTATGTGTCTTTAGTATGCAGAGGTATATTGCTGGAGACAATTTGCAAAGCTTGAAATGCCACAGTTTTCAGAAATGAACGGCTACCAATTCAGCAGCATACATGCTTGGTTAAGCAAGTGCTTCGATTGACGATACTATACTGACAGAATGGAAGAGATCTAAGCAAAGGTCAGGTTGTGGACTGCATTGGTTTCCGAAAGTTTGGATGGGGAGAGACTTGTTAGCCTGTGTTAGCCTGAAAGGAATTTTGAGAATCTCAGTCTCTCTTACCTCTTACTGCGGATAAGACACAACCGAGTGCCCTGGTTGGTCTTGCTATTCCAATCTTGACGTAAGTGGTCCTCTGTAGTTTAGCTTCCATTTCGGGCGATGCACGGGGAGAGACTTTTTAGCCTCTGTTAGCCTGAAAGGAATTTTGAGAATATCAGTCCCTCCTGCCTCCTACTGCGGATAAGATAACCGAGTGCCCCGGTTGGTATATAACATATTACCCCGCACCCAGCCTATCTGCACTACCTGACCCTGTTCAGTGTCTAATTCTTCTTGCTATTCCAATCTTCATGTAAGTGATCCTCTGTAGTTTAGCTTCCATTTCGGGCGTTGCAAGTGCACCTTGCATCCATTACTCAGCGGGAGCAGTTGCCTCATCTAATTGCTTGGGCTGCAAACAAAATCGCTGTGCCATTCAGACCTGCTGCTTGAGCGCTTGCCTTTTCGGATTCGTTAGCATTTCTGCAGAAAATGACCAAAGAGACTTTGATCACGAAACGGCCGCATCCAACTCAGCAAGAGCTTGGAGCCAGCAAGTTTCGCTGGTGGTTCATGATGTCAGAACGTGATGAATCTTAAAGAAGACCTCTGCTTTCCTTTTTTCGTCTCAGCTTGCAGGAGGAGAAGCCAAAACACTGTAGGAGCATTACGATTTCGGGCCCCACCCCTTGAGGCCCGGGGAGAAGGTCATAATTGGAACATTAAAAATCTGTCCAACATCAAGGAGCCTACCTCAATTGGTACACCGATAAACTGTTGAAATGCTGACCTGAGTTCGAGTCCAGATAGAACCAGATGAACAAAATTCTGGAATTACGTCAGCTATGGCCCAAACATGCGAGTACCACCAACGGGCCTATCTCAGTTGGTACACCCACGAAAATTCGTCCAAAAGACCAAAGTGCACACGGTTCGCATTCCAAACAGTTCTCCACCTTTTGCCTAAGGTCAAGTGTGGTATATGTTTTTCATAATTGTGAAGCTCCAACAGTGATTGTGGAATTAAAAAATTCGTCCAAAAGACAAAAATGTGCATGGTACACAGACCAAATTTTATTATTATTATTATTATTATTTTTCTTTTTTTTTTGACCTTTTGGCTAAGATCTAAGGGTCTCGTTGCACTACTCTCCACTCTCCGGTTGCGGAGAGTTTTTCGTGGCTGCACTAACTATCCGAGATTCCACCACCCAAAACCCCTCGGATACCTGTCAGAAAATCAGGTGACCGTAGAAAAGCACTCTCCATGGGCTGAGATTGCACAACCTGCAAAATTCGTTACCCGGATAGACGTTTGTAGGACCTCGAATTTGGAGAGTGGGCCTGGAGTCTGGGCGGACAAAACGGTTATTACTCGGTGTCTTCATCTGCTGTCACGAACGTGTGCTAGTGGACTGAGGAATCGGAGAGCAGAGGGAGTGTGGATAGCAAGTGCAGCTGTGATGGAAAAAAACCTGTTTTGGAAACTTCTACAACTCTCGGATTACTATCCGAATTTCCGGACAAAAAAAAAAAAAAAAGAAAAAAAAAAAGAGAGAGAGAGCAGTGCACGGAGACCCCAAGTGTAGTAGTATCTGTTCTGATCAGTTTGATATGTGATCCGTTGTCCACCGGACCGCATAAGAAGGGTAGGAGGGGGGGCGGAGCATTTCCTTCTTGCTTTCGTTGGAAAGGTGGTCTGCGTTGTCCTTGGGGACATCCGTTAAAATTGTAAGGATACAGAGAAAGAGAAGATTAGCATGGATGGCCCCTGCGCTTTCAAAGATGACACGCATAAATCGAGAAATGTATATACCTTTTTGTAAGTGGTCTGCGGAAGATGGATGGGTTGTGGCTGTCGCGGGCTGCCACACATTTGCATGGGCCGTTTGTGAGGGACTCTTGGCCCTGCGTCGTGGTTATGAATTGTTTTTATTCCCCTAAAAATGATAACTTTAGGTGAAAAAGGTCTCCAGGGCCGCTGGAGGGAGATCCCACTACGGGAGGGAGATCCCACTTACACGAATTACGCGATATTGACCGTAGATAGCAAGGATCAACGCCCAGAATCTCTTAATCCGTGCAAGTGGGACCTTGGCCCTTGAGGGAGATCCCACTACCGATGATGTATGTAGAGTAGTGGAGAGGTTGTGTGACTCAGAAGCACAGTGGATCGGACCGGATATCGGCGGTGTGTTTTTATTTGTATTTACGCGCGGGGACATATGTGTGTTTTTGGGGCCTCCCATTGGGTGGTATTTCTTTTCTTTTTGAATAGGTGTTCCTCTTTGGGTCCCGAACGTGTGTGAATGAAAATCATAACGATTTTTTTCGTGATGATTTTCACACACCTTGGGCCTCGCTGCACTACTCTTGAAATGCACAAAAGACAAAAACCATGGCCGTGTATCCTTCCATATTCTAGCGAAAGATTCACTCTCGTTTTGCACATTTCCAGAGTAGTGCAGCGAGGCCCCTTCTACTCACCTTTGGGTCATTGCCCATGCTTGGAAGACATGCCGAAGTGATTGTGGTTTGTGAGATGTTGGGGGGTTCGATCGCCTCACCTACAGCACATGCCGCATGGAGTTGCTTTTGCCCTCCTTTGCCAAAAGTGAATTTCTGTCAGAGCGAAGGAGCGTGCACTGCGGCCCATTTCAAGGAAGCCTCAGACTACTGTCAATGAATTTGGTCAGTTTCCTCACTCGCATGCAGTCTTTTTGATCGACACAGTTATGGTCAGTGAATCATACCCTGACATCTGACCCCCCGGCTGGAGCAGACACGATTGAAGGGAAGAGAACACTTTCTTTTCTTTTTTAGCATTTTTCTCTTCATTTCTTTTGTCATGAAATGGTTTTTCGTTTTCATTTTCCCTACTTCACCCTGCCACCCACCTGTTCCCCACCCGTCACACTAATCCAAATACAAGGGTAGTGGGATCTCCCTCCGAGGGCTAGATCGAATTAACAACGGGAATCTGGACACGTCCTTCGCCTAGATGCAGAAGAGCAGATCAATCACCGTGTTCTGCATCTGTCCTTGACAACGTCCAGATTCATGCATTAAAGCTAACCCTTTATGCCAGTGGATCTCCATCCGGATGTACGTGCATTAGTGTATAAGGTGTGTGACTGTCAACCATCGTGGATTCGGTAGGAACTCAGCAGTCGCCAGTTTTTGTGAATTCAGCTCGGGAAAAGGATGTTTTTTTTTTTTTTTTCGCTCTGCGACTCTCATCTCATTGGTAGGTTTTTCTTTTGTTTTTGCTGTGGGTGTCCTGTGGCGGTCCTTAACGTGTGTGAAATCAACACCATTTTTTTTCGCTCATGAAATCATGCACATTTCGTTCACAAATGGCTTCATGGCTGGAAACTTGGAAAGTGATTGTGGTCTGGGAGGCGTTTGGG